GTTTGTTATATATTACATGGAAAGTTATGCCTGAAAGGTAATGGTACAATGACCCTTTGCAAAGAAGATAGTTAAGGGAAATTTTATATGAATATGCTTAAACTCCACAAAACTTATCTTGGAACTTAAAAAATTGCGATATGTTCTTTCATACAAGTATAAGAGTCCAGTCTCTGATTCTACCATGTTAGCTTATCATGTCATCATGTTATCACGTTAATCTCATAAAACGTAGTCAAGTTAATTTACGGTAGTCGATATATCCTATGTAAAATACTATTCTTGATAGATAATTAGACATTGACCTCATTGTTGGAAGAATTCAAGAGTAACACATGAGGCCTCGAACTTTTATAAATAGTTGGCAATGTTGTCGAATTCGGGTTATCATCTTTTGCCTTTGAAGTTCTTAACTTTTTTTGTGTTCAATTGTTTAACGTTGATGCATATTTGAAAATTTATTCGTTAAGTATGAGCAATGCGGGTTAATATTAAAAAAACTTGTTATCGGAAATCTTTTTACATTGTGAACAATCTTACGGAATTTTTACATAAGCAGCATTGTGGGACAAATGTTTTTTAGTTATTATGTAAAACATCAGTAACATTGTTTAAAATTGCTGCTTTGATTGTTTTTTTTTTTTTTTAAACTTAACTACTTTGATTGTTACTTCGATAACAAAAATGTTTTCTTAATACTGTTGGTGTCGTAAATTAATTCATTATTTCATTGGCTTTAAATGTTTATGATAGAGAGTATACCTACTTAAGATGTAAACTATACGTATATTCGGTTTTTACTTTTTACAAACAAAAAGTTTAAAAAACATATGGTTTACCTCTTACGTAGATGTTCTCTTCTATGCAACCATCAAGCACGCGCATACACACACAAAAATTAAATTTATGATAATAAATACCTTTTGATAAGATATCTACTTGTTAATTATCATTTGTAATTGCTCTAGTGATACATATGGTATATCTCTCTGAACAAAAACTTGATTTCCCTAGTCATTTCTCTCCCAATCACATCTACCAAGGCGGCCGTCGTAAGCGTTAACACGAGAAGAATGGACCTCCGGCAACAGCGTTCCACTCACTCCTCTTGACCTGGATCGGCGTCTCCTTCTCGAGATCTTGACGCTCTCGAAGATCCTTTCCTTCGGGAAAAACTTTTCAAACCTCGCCGGTAATCTTCACTGGTGAACTTGTGTCTTGTTTCTCTTTCTCTGTCGTGATGGTTGAGTGACGTCGAGTTAGTCCAATCGCCCCGACCGGTATGCTGCACTATGCAGATCTGAGCTGCTCTTCCTCTCAACCACCGATGGTGACTTATGTGGAGCTGCAAGTGTGCCCCCAACCTCTGGTTCAGCCTCTCTTGTCTCACCTTGCCTCCTCTCCCTCACCGAGATCTCATGCCGACTTCTCCGTCTCAGCAAAGCCTTCTTTCGTCGGTCAAGTGCCTTGCTCTGGTACGGGAGTTTACTTGGCTCCGACGTTCAGCTCGCCTCCATCTTTTCCATCGTGGATTCATTACTCCGAGCCCTAACCGCTCCTGCTCCATTTCCCCAGTTGCTAGAAACCCTTTCTCCCTCACGATAATCATCACCTATGGGCCTTGCCCAATTTAAGATGTGGGTTCTCAAGCCCAATAAAATCAAATGTTCATGGCCAAGGAAGTTTAAGTCAAGTTCTGTCGATTGTTCTCTCTGTGCTTTTAATAGGATTATGGTCACAGTTTCTATGAGGAGCGTTTCGCTACTTCCTCTTGGCTTGAAACAACAATGGGCTTGGCTCAATCTGATCTGTGGGCTTTTTAGTCCACTAAGATCATATCTTCATGGCCCATCAGCCATTATCCAAGACAAATTAAATTCTGACGTTGGTCTTCTATCTTATGATTATGTTACAAAAAGATGGTTTTATCAGAAAAATCTTCTGAGTCATATACTTTCTCTACTTTGAGAGTATCAAAATTTTCTGGATTCTCAAATCTTGTAATTTGCGAGCTCGATATTTTTCTGAATTCTCAAATCATGTAATTTACTCTCGATGGAAGAGTTCAATTCCACCTTCTTCTATCTCTTTGAGACTGGTCGTATCTTCTTCCCTCTCTTGGAAAGTGGTCGAGTTCCCGAACTTTATGTCAGGATCTTCAAAGTCATATTGGAAAGTGACTAACCTGAGACTCTCCGACTTTCCTCCGAAGACCTCTTGACGCATCCGAGGTATGTCTTGGATCTGTTGTCCATCTTCTGCGAGAATCTATCTACTCTATGTTTATTGCATTTCAATTATGTTCTAGTAATGTTGGAGGATGCTCAATCCCTCATTTTGTATTTTGATCGTTTAAATGAATGAAATAAGTTTGTTGACAAAAACAAAAATATGCTCTAGTGTTAACTGAAATCCGATAACATTTTTTTTTATAAACTGTGGGAGTTCCGAACATTTGGCTCATAATTTCTTCGGTATCCGGAGACAGTCTTTGGATATTCCGAAGTTTAAACCTGAGACACAAAGAAACCAATCATTTTGTGCTATCAATAATAATTTACCACTAGACCACTTTGGTAATAATTTTTTGTTATACATAAAAAAAAGTTGGATTTTTAAGGATATCACGTAAGCTTTTCTTATAAGTTTTTCTAAAAAAAACAAAATTGTAAAACGTTAATTTCTAGTATTTGCTAAAGACTAAAAAGTGAATGATGCTATTTTTTCAACGTCTAAAAAATAGGAATCTTTCCCCAACCTAGCTAATTTCCCTCGATCAAAACGAACAATAGCCACAAAAATTCTGATTCCTACTTGTCCACTTTTTGGTTTCGCAGTTTCAAAATCAGAAGCTGTTACCTCCACCGTCAGATTTTCACTCTTACAAATCTAACGTCTCTCAATTCGCCACGTCATCCTTTTTCCAAGAACTCGTTTTGTTCTCACTTAGTAAATTTTGTGTAATGTTTCTGACACTGTTCACTTTTTCTCCTTTGTACTTTTGTGTTTGGTTTCTCACCTGAGAAGTCTGAGTTTCTTTCTTCAAATTTTTTTCGCCTTTTTGTGTATTTTTCCTGTAAGTATTACTCCGTACGATAAATTTTTTCCTTTTTCTTTTGCAATAATTGAAAAAAGCTTTTTGAATAAATCTGTAACGTGATCACTTATTTTCTGATTAAATCCAAAATTCTTATGATCATGACATTATCGTCAGAGTAAAAAAAAGACAAAGATCGAGTGGTTCATAACTTTCCATTGGATTCTTCAATATCTCAAAAAAAAAAACAAATCACGCTATAAAAGAGAAGATTAATTTCATTCATGCCAGTAACACGGAATAGTGTCAAGTACGTACATTCTTATATACAGTATAGTAACTCCATCTTTAAATCTTAAATTAACATGGCCATTAATATCTAAATATATATTCTCTCCGTATCATATTAGATGATTTTTTAGAGAGTTTTTTTTGTCTCAAATTATATGATGTTTTAAGTTTCTAAAGTAAAATTAATTATATTTTTGTTGTTTTTGACTCTTTAAATTCTGCAGATTAATTTTCTATTGGTTGAATTGTATTGGAATTGGTAGTTTTATGTTGAAAAATAGAAAATTAAATAGTTTATTAATTTGTGTGTATAAACCTTAAAAACCATTTAAAAT